CCGAGGCGGGTGGATCACGAGGTCAAGAGATCGAGACCATCCTGGTCAACATGGTGAAACCCCGTCTCTACTAAAAATACAAAAACATTAGCTGGGCATGGTGGCGCGTGCCTGTAGTCCCAGCTACTCAGGAGGCTGAGGCAGGAGAATTGCCTGAACCTGGGAGGCGGAGGTTGCGGTGAGCCGAGATCGTGCCATTGCACTCCAGACTGGGTAATAAGAGCGAAACTCCGTCTCAAAAAAAAAAAAAAAAAACCTCCTAGCAATCTCCAGGAAATAAGGTAAGACACAAACAAATGGAATAATATTCCAAGCTTGTGGACAGGAAGAATCAATATTGTGAAAATGGCCATACTGCTCAAAGTAATTTATAGATTCAATGCTATTCCCATTAAACTACCATTGACATTCTTCAAAGAGTTAGAAAAAAAGGACTTTAAAATTTATGTGGAACCAAAAAAGAGCCCATATAGCCAAGACAATCCTAAGCAAAAAGAACAAAGCTGTAGGCATCATGCTACCTGAATTCAACCCATACTACAAGGCTATAGTAACCAAAACAACATGGTACTGGTACAAAAACAGACACACAGACCAATGGAACTGAATAGAGACCTCAGAAATAAGATCATACATCTATAACCATCTGATCTTCAGCAAACTTGACAAAAACAAACAATGGGTAAAGGATCCCCTGTTTAATAAATGGTGCCAAGCAAACTGACTAGCCAAATGTAGAAAACTGAAACTGGACCCCTTCCTTATACCTTATACAAAAATTAACTCAAGATGGATTAAAGACTTAAATGCAAAACCTAAAACTTTTATAAAAACCATAGGAGAAAATCTAGGCAATACCATTCAGGATGTAGGCACAAAGATTTCATGACAAAAACATTAAAAGCAATTGCAATGAGAGCAAAAATTGACAAATGGGAAAGTGGGCAAAGGACATGGACAGACACTTATCAAAAGAAGACATTTATGCAGTCAATAAACATATGAAAAAAAGCTGAATGTCACTGATCATTAGAGAAATGCAAACTAAAACCACAATGAGATATCATCTCATGCCAATCAGAATGGCCATTATTGAAAAGTCAAGAAACAGATGCTGGCAAGGCTGTGGAGAAACAGGAACGCTTTTACACTGGTGGTGGGAATGTAAATTAGTACAACCATTTTGGAAGTCAATGTGGCACTTCCTCAAAGATCTAAAACCAGAAATACCATTTGACCCAGCAATCCCATTACTTGGACATATACCCAAAGGATTATAAATCATTCTATTATAAAGACACATGCACACACAGTCTCATTGCAGCACCATTCACAATAGCAAATACATGGAATCGACCTAAATGCCCATCAATGACAGACTGGATGAAGAAAATGTGGTTCATATACACCATGGAATACTATGCAGCCATAAAAAGGAATGAGATCATGTCCTTTGCAGGGACATGGATGGAGTGAGAAGCCATTATCCTCAGCAAACTAACACAGGAACAGAAAACCAAACACCCCATGCTGTTACTTATAAGTGGGAGGTGAACAATGAGAACACATGGACACAGGGAGGGGAGCAACACACACCGGGGACTGTCAGCAGGGACAGGAGAAGGAAAGGATGAGGATAAATAGCTAATGCATGTGGGGCTCAATACCTAGGTGATGGGTTGATAGGTGCAGCATTTACCTACAACAAACCTGCACATCCTGCATATGTCTTCTGAAAGTTAAAATAACATTTAAAAGAAAAGAAAAAAAAAACTCCTAGCAAAATAGGAATAAAATGAAAATTCATCAAACTGATAACAGGCTTCCAAGGAATCCTTCAGGAAATCTCATACTTTGTGATGAAACATTGTACATTTCCCTTCTAAGATAAAGAACAAGGCAAGTCTGTCCACTTTTATCAATCCTATATAAGAATGTACAAGTCCCATATAAGACAATAAGGCAAAAGAAAAAGATAAAAGCATAAAGATGAGAAAGAAAGAAGCAAAACCTTTTGATTCACAAGTAATAGGATTCTGCATAGAATCTACAAAAATATCATCAGACCTAATGTATGAATAAACAAGTTTACAAGATACAAGTTCAATATAAAATTATTGTATACATAAATACTAGAAGAAAACCATCGGAAAATGACATTAAATACTCTCATTTACATAAATACAAAAAATGAAATACTTTGGAATAAATTTAATGAAAGATCTCGACAATGAACACAACAAAATATAGCCCAAAATGGCCTAAACAAAACCTAAATATAAACCGATAATTAATATGAAGATCATATATTGGAATGCTGGATATTGAAGATGACCATTCTTCCTAAAAAGATATATATTCACCCTACACGAGAATCATACCCCTAGACCAACCAGCCACAATAAAAGATATATATTCAAAGAGATCCCAATCAATATCGCACCAGAGTTTTTTGTAGAATTTGACAAAATGACTCTAAGATCTACAGGGAAATAAAAGGGCCTAAAATTGTTCAAGCAATTTTGAAAAACAAGAAAAAAGTTGGCAGACTTATGTTACCTATTTTTAGGACTTACAAAGATTCAGTATTCATGACTGTTGTATTTGTAAAAGGATAGACCTACAGAATAACAAACAATAGAAAAAACAAAAGTAGGCCCGCTTATAGTCCACTGATTTTTATCAAAGATGCCAAAGCAATTCAATAGAAAATGGAATGTGTACACTTTTCAAAGGAAGACATATGTGAGGCTAACAAACATATAAAATGCTCATCATCACTGGTCATTAGAGAAATGTAACTCAAAACCACATTGAGATACCATCTCACGCCAGTTAGAATGGCAATCATTAAAAAATTTGGAGGCAACAAATGTTGGAGAGGATGCGGAGAAACAAACACTTTTACACTGTTGATGGGAGTGTAAATTAGTTCAATCATTGTGGAAGACAGTGTGGCGATTCCTCAAGGACCTAGAAATAGAAATTCCATTTGACCTAGCAATCCCATTACTGGGCATATATCCAAAGGATTATAAATCATTCTATTATGAAGACACATGCACGCGTACATTCATTGCAGCATTGTTTACAATAGCAAAGACCTGGAACCAACCCAAATGCCCATCGATGACAGACTGAACAAGAATAATGTGGCACATATACACCATGGAATACTATGCAGCCACAAAAAATGATGAGTTTGTTTCCTTTGTAGGGGCATGGATGAATCTAGAAACCATCATTCTCAGCAAACTGACACAAGAACAGGAAATCAAATACTGCATGTTCTCACTCATAGGCAGGTGTTGAGCAATGAGAACACATGGACACAGGGAGGGGAGCATCACACACTGGGGTCTATTGGGGGGGACTAGGGAAGGGACAGTGGAAGGTGGGGAGGTTGGGGAGAGATAATATGGGGAGAAATGCCAGATATATGTGATGGGGATGGAGGCAGCAAACCACATTGCCATGTGTGCACCTATCCAACAATCCCGCATGATCTGCACATGTACCCCAGAACCTAAAGTACAATTAAAAAAAAGAAAAAGAAAAAGAAAAAGGAATGTGTTTCAGCAAATGGTTCTGGATACTCACAGGGGAATAAAATCATCAACACCATTCACAAAAGTCAACTTAAAATAAATAATAAACCTTTAGAAGCTAGAACTGTAAAGTAAGAAGAAAATATAAGAGATCTCTGCAACTTTTATGTAGACAAAGATATCCTAGAAGGGACATAAAAATCTTCAAAAAAATAAATGAGACTTAAACATTTACACTCATCAAAAGATACTATTAAGACGAGTAGGCAAGGAACCCATTTGGATAAATATTTCACAATACACGTATCTAACAAAGAACTCACATGAAGAATATGTGAAAAAAAACTCCTACAAATGTTCAATAAAAAAGACAACCAACTTTCAATACTGGGCAAGAAACTTAAACACTTCACAAAAGAATTTATACAAATAGTTAACTTACACATGAAAATGAACTCAATATAATTATTCTTCAGGGAAATGAAAATTAAAAACACATAGATACTGTTTCACACCCGCCAGAATGACTAAAACCCAAAAGGCAAACCAAAATGTTGGTGTGGGTATGGAGTAAGTGGAATTCTCAAACATGCTGGCTGGTATAAAGTATTACAAGCACCTTGAAGAAACTTTCAAAACATCATACACATAATTTTTGACCAAATGCCCCACCAGTTAGTACCAAAATACTCAACTACTAAGTATTTTTATCCAAGATGAATTTTTAAGCAAGAGAAATCTTTAAGTTCACAAGATGGATTTTTAACCAATAAAGATCTTTCATTCATAGCACATTTATGGTATTTGAATTCATATATCATATGCTGGAAATGACCTAAAACAACATAAAAATCTACGAATATTTGAATGTATGTACAATTGATCCATGCAACAATATAGATTAATCTCAAATGTATTATGCTGAAGAAACCAAGAACAAATTATAATATATCGTTCATTTATATGACATTCAACAACAGGCAAAACTAATATATGGTAATAAAATCAGAAAGTAATTGCCTCTGGGAGAGGTTAATTGATGAAAATAGGCTCAAAAAGATGTTCTAGAGTGATGGAACTATTTGGTGTCAAACTTTTATTTACGGAGTCAAAGAAGACTGAGGTATAGGTAATTTTGAATAATGGCCTTAGAAAGGTAAGGAAGCTATTAGGACATATTTGGTATTTTACAGTTTAGAACATTTTTTCATATTGCAATACATTATTCTGCTCATATAGAAGCAATTCAATATTTCTTTGAAAAACAAGAAAAAGAACAGAGATATTTGATTCCCTATCTTTCCCCTATGATCCATCAACCTGTCTGTCTTGTCTGTCTGTCTATCTCTTTGAAAGCACAAATGCATTTGAGCAAATTACAATTTAAGTAGAAGCTATACGGAAAAAAATGAACATAAATTTTGGATAATACAATAAACATAAAAAGGGAAATAATTTTGAAAAAATGAGCATTATTTTAAAGCGTTCATAGTTGAATCCCAATAGAACAGAGGAAATTGCTGAAGTTTTGAGTACCTAGAAAAAAAACAATGAAATGTATGTTTGAAGATTATTATTAAGGCATCAGTATCCTAAGAATAATCAAGGAGAGAGAGACCATATATTTTTTTCAGGAAAATTGAAGAGCCACAGCACCGCAGGGATCCCTTGACCATGATGGCTATGCGGTCACCCAGAACATCAGCTTCATCCATGTAGTGGGTGGTCAATAGGATGGTACGATCCTGTTTAAAATGCTGCAGGAGATCCCAGGTGACCCTTCTTGAGACTGGGTCCATGCCAGACGTTGGCTCATCAAGTATCACTACCTGAAGAGCGGAAACACAATTAAATGACCATTGCTAAATATTATATACCGATATGACTATTGTCTTTCCAGTCATGGAGCTTACTCTAATTTTGGTTTTTCACTTGTTCAACTAGGCTGAATAGTAAGTTTAGAGGCCAAGTGTAGTGGCTCACACCTGTAATCTTAGCACTTTTGGAGGCTGAGGTGGGAGGATGACTAGAACCCAAAAGTTAGAGCAACATAGCCCTGCCCTTACAAAAACATAAAAAATTAGCTGGGTATGGTGGCATGTGTCTGCAGTCCCAGCTACTTGCAAGGCTGATGGGGGAGGATTGCCTGAGTCAGGTAGGTCAAGGCTACTTTAAGCCATGATCATGCCACTGCACTCCAGCCTGGGTGACAGAGCAAGACCCTGTCTCAAAAAAAAGTTTAGAAAAAACTGAATTAGGAATGGTGGAATAATTTCAAACCTATAGCCACTTTATACCAACAAGATTGATAATGTGAATTCCATATGATTTTCATTTAGGAGGCTATCTTTAGAATGTTAGCTCCATATCAGCTCTCAAATTTGTGTCAGCTGATTCTTTTGGACTAGCTGCAGTGTGCAGTGGGAATCCATATTTGGCTTTTTTTTTTTTTTTTTTTTTTTTTTTTTACCTTGGAGCCCCCTATAAATGCTATAATGATGGAGAGTTTGCGCTTCATTCCTCCGCTCAGCGACTTTGACAATTCATTACGCTTTTCTAGCAGGTTAAAAGTAGTCAGCATGTGGTCAATTTCCGTACGAGTCATCTTTCCATGTACTCCTTTTATCTAGAAAGAGGAGCCAGAGTTTACATGGCACTTCAATTTTATTCTTAGAAACATATTACACCAGACTTTTTTCTATCATTCATGTAGTAACTTATTCCCTTTGCTTCTTTTTATGTTTAAAGAAGAATTCATCAAAATCGATTTTGAACTTTCTAAGAATAAGGATATTCACAGTAGCTAATCTACCTGAAGCACATGAACAGACTGGGAGAAAAGGAATTTATCTTTTGCTCACCCCACAGTAGAAATGAAGGTGTTCCGATACTGTCAAGTAATTAAACAGCAGGTTCTGCTGGGGACACAAGCCCAGCGATTTCCTAATGTGGACCATCTGCTTTGAGATATCATATCCGTTAATATAGGCCTTTCCACTTGTAGGAGGATAGAGACCTAGAATCAAGGAGAAAACATAACAGAAACTTAATTTTCATAAGAGAACATGACAACAAAGTACTTATTAGCATCTCAACTTTGAAATCTACATATGCATAACTCATTAGCATTAGCAATATTTCACAGCAAAGACAATTCTACAAATCATTGACAGTTATTTTTGAGGTGATGAACTTAGAAGTAATTTATTTTGTATTTTCCTGTTTAACTGTACGTTCTGTTTCAATGTAGATGAATAAGTGCAAATCATCTGAATAATAAAAAGCACGAGAGTGTTATATTACAACATGCCAGGATTGCCATCAGCCATTTGACATTTATGAATTCTGTTTTAAGCTGTACATTGCTTTAAGTTAAGGTTTATATGGTAAGCGCCAGGACAATTACTAAGAAAATAAAACTATATAGTGAGAAAAATCATTAAAGGAATTAAAATGTTACACTAAAAAATATTCACTGAGTGCAGGCCAGGTGCAGTGGTTCATACCTGTAATCCCAACACTTTGGGAGGCTGACACGGGTGGATCACTTGAGCTCAAGAGTTCGAGACTAGCCTGGGAAACATGGCAAAACCCTGTCTCTATTAAAAATACAAAAACTAGCTGGGCATGGTGGCACGTGCCTGTAAACCCAGCTACTTGGGAGGCTGAAACATGAGAATCGCTTGAACCCAGGAGGTGAAGGTTGCAGTGAGCTGAGATTGTGCTACTGCACTCCAGCCTGGGTGACAGAATGAAACTGTTTAAAAAAAATGTACTTAATGCAAAAATAAATAAATAAAAAAGAGAGAAATAGAGGAACAAAAAATACATGAGCCATAGAAAACTAAAAGTAAAATGACAGACAATAAAAAAATATGATCCAACTCTATGCTATCTGCAGAAGACACACTTCAGACTCAATGACATAAATCGGCTGAAAGTAGATAGATGGAAAAAGATGTATTTATTATGCAAGAATATTTTCCTGAATACATGTTTCTTCATTTGCCAAATGCCCTTAGAGAATTTTCAGAGTCACCCTTAGAGAATTTTCAGAGTCTTTAAATGATTAGGTATTTTGTCAATTTTTACAGCTTTGCTTGTTTCATTAGGGTATGCACCTGATGATCCAAAAGTGGAATATTATTATTTTATTGCTTAAATATTCAATGGTCTAAAGAAATGTTTACATATAAGAATTTTTAAATTCCCATATATATGATCTCAACACTTTCATAATCTCTGGTGCTCTTCATTTCTTCTTGCCAACCTGAGTTTCATTCTGGAATAATTTCCTTTCTTCCTGAAAAACTGCCTTTCTTGGCTTTCTCCACTCCTTTCTGGGGACAGTCCACAATATAATATATCTTAGCAATTGCCCATGGGTGGTTGAAAAAAATGAGTATTCTGCTGAGTAGAATTTTCCATAAATGTCAATTAGATGCTGTTGATTAACAGTGTTGCCAAGTTTTTCAGTAACTTTAATAATTTCTGTTTACTGGGTCTATCAATTGCTAAAAGAGTGGAATCTCCAACTGTAATTGCAAATGTATCTATTTCTTTTTTCAAGTCTATCAGTTTTTGCTTTGAGCATTTTGATGCCCTGTGCTTTGAATTCAAATTAAGAATTGCTATGTTTTCTTGGTAGATTAACCTTTTTATAACTATGTAATGTCCTTTTCCATCTTCCCCAAAATAAATACTAATTTTTACATTTTATAATAGTTATTTTCAAACTTCAAAATAGATTATTAAAGCACGTATCTCAGAAGTCACTATGCTGTAAACATCAAGAGGATACATGAATGTCTCATTGCTTTATCTACTGTTTTTTGAACAGAGTGGAACACCTACCTGAGAGAATGGATAGAGTAGTAGATTTTCCTGCCCCATTATGTCCTAGAAGAACAGTGATCTGCCCCTCATATAAATTCAAAGACAAGTCCTTTACAGCTATTTTGGTAGTGTTGTGCCCTTGGAATACCTATGGGAAAAATCCCACAAATACTAACTTTATCACAATCACATTGAAAGAACGAGCTCTCATATCAACTATCAAAGACACAATACATCATCAGGCATGAGAAGAAATATCAAAGTGTAAAAGAATGAAACTAAGAAAAGGAAAATAAATATTCAAAGATATAACATAAGGTTTAGAATTTCACAGTAGATATACAAACATTCCCTGAGCAATCTTATCCATTCCTGCTCTCTTTTTTATGTGGATAAACTTAACCGGTATAGGTCCCCTTTTGTTACATGGATATATTGTACAGTGGTAAGGTCTGGGCTTTTAGTATAACCATGACCCAAATAACAAACACTGTATCAAGTGAGTTTTTCATCTCTCATGCATCTCCCACACTCTCACCCTTTCGAGTCTCCAACGGTTGTCATTTCACACTGTATGTACATGTATACACATTGTTTAGCTCTCACTAATAAGTGAGAACATGTGGTATTTGACTTTCTGTTTCCAGGTTGTTCCACTCAAGATAATGGTCTCCAATTCCAACCATGTTACTGCAAAATACATGATTTCATTCTTTTTTATGGCCTTGTATATATACCAATTATTTCTTTATCCAACCATCTGTTTATTCAATGGATGATTGCTTTGTCTCAATTTCCATCTTGAACTTACAATGCCACAGTCTTCAATGTATTAGTGTCTTCGGCCTAATTTAGAGAACTGTCAATTGAAAATCACACGTGGATATTTATCTTAAATTTCTGAAGACTATCAGTGCTTCTGCTTAATATACAAAAAGTTGGAAAAAGAATCACTCCTACTCTAGCAACAAGTAGAAGCTAAATAATCTGCAAAATTATAACTTTTCTTGAACCCATCTTAGAGGTAAGGTTCCCAGGACACCAAGTAGCCTAAAATTTAAAAGAAAAATAGATACTTTCAAGGAGAGATGGCATATTGATATTTACTTGCCTGGAGCAGACATGGGTACTTAAGAGCCAACATGAGTGCTTATACAAGCTACTAAGAAGATTTTGGTTAGATTTTTAATAAAAATGAAGTGAAAACAGTTTAAGAAACACCATACTTAAATCGAAGAGTTGGGATTCAAGCCCATATCATTAAGAATTAAAGTGTATTTTCCTTCCAACACAACCTATAGATGGTAAATAAAGGCAAATGTCTTGTGTAATAGAAAAGAAATACTATTTAATTTTTAAAATCCCAAATGGTGGTAGGTATTTTCTCCCTAAGTGTCTTATACTGTCTTCTCCATAGACCTAAGCATCAGGCTTGTAAATGCTTATTTGAAATCTCTACTTGGATGAACATCTAAAGTTCCTATATCCAAAAGTGAGCTCTTAATTTCCCAAACCTTCACTTAAAAACCAACAATAAACTAACCAAACTGTGACCTTTCCCCAGTATCTCCAATATCCATAATTGTTCGATTAACCACCCGCCCCCGCATTTCCTTAAGCCACAAAACCAACAGCCACATTAGTTTCTTCCTTTCCCCACAATCTCATATCCAACCTATACATAAATATTCATTTATAACCATAAAACATGTTTTGCATCTTTTTTTTTTTTTTTGAGATGGAGTCTCACTTTGTCGCCCATTGCTGGAGTGCAATAGCATGGTCTTGGCTCACTGCAACTTCCACTCCCAGGTTCAAACCATTCTCCTGTCTGAGGTTCTGGAGTAGCTGGGATTACAGAAGCCTGCCACCACACTCAGCTAATTTTTGTATTTTTAGTACTGACAGGGTTTTATCATGTTGGCCAGGCTGGTCTCGAACCCAAAGTGCTGGGATTTACCATACCTGGCCTGTTTTGAATCTTTATACTGTGATCTCCAATGCCATCAGCCTAGTCCATGGTGCCATCGTATCCTACCTGAGCTACTATCAAAGCTTCCGATTTGTCTTCTTTCTTTCACTCATAGTCCTCACAACGGCCAAAGAGGTCCTGCTTGTCCAGTTGTACACTGGCACCACTTTTGATTCAAAACATAATGAACATATGAAGCTCCTTCCAACCCCAGGGTTTTGATTTTTTTCTGTCTGAATTTTTGTCCCTAGTTTTTCTTTTTTGTTTTGGGACAGAATCTCTCTCTGTCACCCAGGCTGGAGTGCAGTGGCACAATCTCAGCTCACTGAACCTCTGTCCCCAGAGGCTCAGTGGCAGGCGCCTATAATCCCAGCTACTTGGGAGGCTGAGGCAATTCTCCTGCCTCAGCCTCCCAAGTAGCTGGGATTACAGGTGCCCGCCACCATGCCCAGCCAGTTTTGTATTATAGTAGAGACAGGTTCACCATGTTGGCCAGGCTGGTCTCAAATTCCTGACCTCTGGTGACCCACCTGTCTCGGCCTCCCAAAAGCCTGGGATTACAGGCATGAGCCATCACACACTGCCTGTCCCTAGTTTTTCAACAATCTGGTTCATTCTTATCTAGTCTCAGCTCCAAGGAGACTGTTTCAGGTTTGAGTTTCTAGGCAACAGTTCTCAATTAGAAGATTAGAATGTAGTATGAAAGTTGTCCAAATCAATACGAGGTCACTTCTTTTAAAAAAACAAAAAAACAAAAAACAAACAAAAACCTTAATAAATACATCTAGAGAAGGCCATGAAGAGAGAGTTCTCATGCACAAATGCCTGATAACAAGAGCTATCACAAAAGGCTCTGCAGAAACCACAACCTGGCAGCTGGGCGCAGTGGCTCACATCTGTAACCCCAGAACTTTAGGAGATCAAGGCAGGTGGATCACCTGAGGTTAGGAGTTTGAGACCATCCTGGTCAACATGGCAAAACCCTGTCTCTATTAAACATCCAAGAATTAGCCAGGAATGGTGGCATGCACCTGTAAATCCAGCTACTATGGAGGCTGAGACAGGAGAATTGCTTGAACCTAGGAGGCAGATGTTGCAGCGAGCCAAGATCATACCACTGTACTCCGGCCTGGGCAACAGAGTCAGACTCTGTCTCAAAAAAAAAAAAAGAAACTACAACCTTGCATAAAGGCCATTGCAGTCCTACACAAAAAAAATGTTTATGTAAAGATGTCTGCCCAGCAACTGCCTATCTGACCTCAGATGGCATCACCCTTGTTACTAATCCTTGTAGCCAAAAATAATTATCTGAAAAATCATACAATCCTAATTCTCCTCTAAAAATCTTTGTCTTTCTTTATTTCCCTGAATATATACACAATTTACTAAGGCACATGAATGCCCTATTCCCAAGTAAATGCCATTTTCTTTTAGAGAGCCTTTCTCTGTTATTTAGGTTGATATAAACGGTGTCAGAAGTATGATCAAAGTGAGCTCACTTCAGAAGAATCAGC